GGGGGGGGGGTAAAATTAGAGGCAAGGTGGACAAATTACATAGCGGGGATGTTATAGGAAGAAAGAAACAAGTCTCCCGCAGACAAATACCTGGCTACTGACTCATTCAGGTCGCACTGTTATGAGGCATTATAAAAGAGAAGGATAACTTGGTTATTCATACAGATTTTTCAGTTCATTTAATTCTTATTCTGAAATTTAAAAAGGCAAGCAGCAACAGGCGGACCATAAAATATTATGTCCATTCGTGTTTCTGATGTTGTGTATAATAGCTCGAAATGTGCCACAAAATTGTTTTTAGTCTGCTACTGACTGGACATATCGCTGCTTTAGAATTACAAAGTTCTATCTGACATTTTTAGACGTTTTGAGTTACTAAGACCATGGAGTCAGACACCAAATGTTTGGGGGGTTTTTTCAACATAAAAAAAAATCGTATGTAAGATTATTTTAAGTCGTTATCATGATATTCAAAGAATTGCATTCCAAAAACCTTGACATGCTGTGAAACTCAAATTTCTCCAAACCGGGCACTCGGCAGATACAACTTTGAAATTCTGGGGTAGCGGCACGTGTCCTTAATAAAGAGTTTACTTAAGACATGAGGAGATACTGTAAATTATATGCCACCTATAGTTCTGTTTTGTTTGTAAGTTTTACGGCATTTGCAACACAATAAGGTCATATAAGTGCCGAACATTAGAGGTGTTATAAGATATAACAAACACAAAAAAGAAGGAGAGATCAGGCAGGACGATAGATGTTTGATATGAAATAAGGAGTAAACCACACCACAGCACCCGCCAACCGCCCACTCTAGCTCTGTGCAGTCCTACCTGGGTACGTAAATATTGAGGTAAAGACAGTCCTCACTCTGTCTGTCGTCGAAGCTAGGATCATGAGACTTGATGTAGAAGCCGTGCAGGAGAGACTGGATGCACGCCGGGGAGACAGTCGTTGCGTTCTTGATACCGCTCCACTTGGTCGGGACTTCGGGGAGCTGGAGTGAGGTGGTGGTGTGTGGGGAAGGGGGGGGGGGGGTACACAGACGGTGAGGTTAGGCCAAGCATCTACAGTTTGTTTGTTTGTTAGTTTTAGTAAGCGTTTTACGTGATTTGCAACACAATTAGGTCATATAAGTGCCGAAGATTTTAGGTGTTACAAGAGAGTAACTAACATAAAAAGGAGGAAAGATAAAGACGATAGTTGTTTGATAGGAAAGAAGGAGTAAACCACACCAGAGCACCCGCCAACCACCCACATTGTTTGCTTGTTCTGGTAAGTGTTTTACGGTGCTCGACATTGCATGAGGTCATATGTGCGCGCAGGACACATTTAAACATTTTCACTTTGGTAGGACCTAATTTTGAATTTTGCCCATTGGCCGCTGAAGTCTACTCTTGTCAATTTTGGACCACAAAGGGGTCTTTAACTTGCACATGGGACCTCTGAGATCCTATGCCTTTATCCGAGAAGGCTAGGTGGCCAGGCATCTGTACGAGTTTACTTTTAGTAAGAGTTTTACCGCACTTGCAACACAGACAGGTCATATAAATGCCGAAGGTTAGAACTGTAACGAGAAAATAGCATACAAAGAAAAAATGAAGCAGAGATATGGACGATATAATTATGTTTGAGGACAGAAAAGAAGAAGAAAACAGCATTAGAGCACCCGCCAAAGGCCAACTGTACAAGTTTCCAGTGATATCATTAAACACACATATCTTTAGAAAGATCCTTTTAAACTGAAACGGATTTTAAACAGGTTCTGAGTAGTACGGCAAACAATTAATATTGGTGACAATAATTTTAGCCAATTCTAAATGTCGGATCATATCGGGTCTCTCACCTCAAAGCGCCTAACGCCCACAGGTGGTTTGGCAAAGGGTACCCCTAGATACCTCTCCACCTCTCTGCCATCGAAAAGAGTGTACACATAACCTCGGACTATCCCGTAGGTCGTTGTCCTGACAACCGAACCAAGCCGAGGTTCCCCGATGACACCACGTGACAGGAAGACACTGAGCATCGTCCATGCTGCAAGAACCCACTGTGGAATTATGGGTAAGGAAGATAAGGAACAAGGGCTGATGTGCGCAAGACGTGGTAGGATAAAAAAATCGATGGTGTCCGTAAAAGTGTTTCAACTGTTTCGGTAACCACTGCTATAGATATTTAATTGATCGGGAAGAATGCGTGTGTGCGTGTGTGTGTGTGTGCGTGTGTGTGTGTGTGTGTGTGTTTGTGTGAGTGTGTGTGT